TGACAGGGCAGGGCCTGATGGGGAGGGGGGGTGGGGCTTGATTTGAAAGGGGCGTGGCTTGTGTGAAATGGGTGGGGCTGGCACTAAAGGGGCGTGGCTCGGTGCGAAGGGGCGTGGCCATGTGCAACAGGGTGGGGCTGGGAAATGGGTGTGATTTGCATAAGGGGCGTGGCTCTGTGTGAGATGGGTGGGGCCAGTTGTAAAGGGGGTGTGGCTTGTTTTAAAGGGGCATGGTTTAGTCAAAAGGGGCGTGGCTCAGTGGAAAGGGGTGTGGCTTGAGTAGGGGCGGGGCTTGCATTGTTAATTAGGGATTAATGATGTGGGTGTGGTTAATGGGCATGGCTTGTGTTGATCCTGAATTTTGATTGGCTGCTACCGGTGCTGTGGGCGCATCTTCTCAACAAATGGGCGGGGCTTGTGCCTTGGTGGGCGGGGCTTATTGCTGGTGCCTCTTGTGGGCGTGGCCTCCACGTGTGGGCGTGGCTTGTGCCCCAAGCAGCTCCCGGCTACTCTGGGGGGGCCGTGCTGAGGGTGGGCGTGGCCTGTGCAGGGTGGGCGTGGCTTTTGGGGGATGGGCGTGGCTTTGGAGGATGGGTGTGGCTTGCAGAGGATGGGCGTGGCTTTGGGGGATGGGCATGGCTTGGGGATGGGCATGGCTTTGGGGGATGGGCGTGGCTTTGGAGGATGGGTGTGGCTTGCAGAGGATGGGCGTGGCTTTGGGAGGATGGGCGTGGCTTTGGGAGGATGGGCATGGCTTTGCTGGGGGTGGGCGTGGTTTTGTGAGTATGGGCATGGCTTTGAGAGGGTGGGCGTGGCTTTGGGAGGATGGGCGTGGCTTTGGGAGGATGGGCATGGCTTTGCTGGGGGGTGGGCGTGGCTGTGGGAGGATGGGCGTGGCTTTCCTGAGGGTGGGCGTGGCTTTGGGAGGATGGGCATGGCTTTGCTGGGGGGTGGGCGTGGCTTTGTGAGGATGGGCGTGTCTTTGCTGGGGGTGGGCGTGGTTTTGTGAGGATGGGCGTGGCCTTGCTCCATGTGGGCGTGTCCTGAAGCTCCGCCCCCAGAGCCGGGTGACCCCGAGGCCGCCCCCTGCCTGCACCCCGGGGCTCTGCTGTTCTGGGCCGCCCGGCGCCGCCGCTTGCCCACCATGGCCGACGCGCTGGCCCACGGCGCCGACCCCGGCTGGGTCAACGCCGCCGAGGACAACCGCACCCCGCTGCTGGAGGCGGTGGCCGTGGTAACTGGGAGCACTGGGAGGGCGCTGGGAGGGTGTTTGGGGAGGGGTCTCTAAACCCCTTCCCCCCTTTTCCCCGTCCCCCCCCCCCCCCGAGAATTCCCTGCTGGCCTGCGAGTTCCTGCTGCAGAACGGAGCCAGCGTCAACCAGAGCGACAGCCGCGGGCGGGGGCCGCTGCACCACGCCACCATGCTGGGACACACCGGGTGAGCACTGGGAGCGACTGGGAGTGACTGGGAGCGACTGGGAGGGACTGGGAGAGCACTGGGAGTGCACTGGGAGCGACTGGGACTGACTGGGAGCAACTGGGAGGGACTGGGAGAGCACTGGGAGCGACTGGGACTGACTGGGAGCAACTGGGAGGGACTGGGAGAGCACTGGGAGCGACTGGGACTGACTGGGAGCAACTGGGAGGGACTGGGAGAGCACTGGGAGCGACTGGGACTGACTGGGAGCAACTGGGAGGGACTGGGAGAGCACTGGGAGCGACTGGGACTGACTGGGAGCAACTGGGAGGGACTGGGAGAGCACTGGGAGCGACTGGGACTGACTGGGAGCAACTGGGAGGGACTGGGAGAGCACTGGGAGCGACTGGGACTGACTGGGAGCAACTGGGAGGGACTGGGAGAGCACTGGGAGCGACTGGGACTGACTGGGAGCAACTGGGAGGGACTGGGAGAGCACTGGGAGCGACTGGGACTGACTGGGAGCAACTGGGAGGGACTGGGAGAGCACTGGGAGCGACTGGGACTGACTGGGAGCAACTGGGAGGGACTGGGAGAGCACTGGGAGCGACTGGGAGAGCACTGGGAGAGCACTGGGAGCGCCTGGGAGAGCACTGGGAGTGACTGGGAGAGCACTGGGAGCGACTGAGAGGGACTGGGACAGACTGGGAGGGATTGGGAGCAACTGGGAGCGACTGGGAGTGCACTGGGACTGGGACGGACTGGGAGAGCACTGGGAATGACTGGGAGGGACTGGGAGAGCACTGGAAGCAACTGGGAGCAACTGAGAGAGCACTGGGAGTGACTGGGATGGACTGGGAGTGACTGGGATGGACTGGGACAGACCGGGGGGGCCTGGGGTGGAATGGGAGTGACTGGG